GACGCCCAGCATCGCACATATACCGTGTTTCGTCCAACTTTCAGAATTATAAACAAGGAGCCGCAGCGCAGCACTCGAGATCGGCATCGTAGTTTGTAAACGAGAAGAGAAAGATTCAGAAGGTGATTGTGAATTGTTGATTCTCGTTCGAGAGTGTGGCAGTATTTTGTTTGATTTTGTCAAACTGCATATAGTGAATAACAGTGCGCGCGGCCGTGTCCAAAGTGATTCGGGCCGTCGTCGAGTTACACAGCGGCAGCAATCGTTGACTCTCGTCGTGTGGGCTCTCGAGACGAGATTCGGAAATCTTAATTTGTAGCTTTGGCGCATCTCTCTCGTCGTCTCTTTCTAGTTTTTTATGTCTCGGCATCCATCTGTCGCTCTCTTGCTCTGCTCTCTGCTCTTCTCAATGCTGTTGTGTCAGTTATGAAACAATTGCGGGCACAAGATGAGCTTTGAGAAAACTTGGCCGATTTAAAAGCGCGCCGCGCGCGAGACTTTTCTTATCTGTTCTGTCTCTCGGTCTCGGCTCGGCTCGTAAGCATCATCGGGTTGTTTTTCATCATTTTTCTCGGGGCTCGTCAAGCGTATTTTCGTTAAAATAGCCCATTGAAAGAGGCGCGCGCGCGCGCGTATATAGTCGCCTCTATATAGTCTCTCTCTCTCTCTGTGGCCCGAGGCCGCATTAAAGCAGCGCGTGCACTATCATCTATATAACTTGCATTATTATATACGTATCTATCTGCATGCAGCCAATTGACGCTGAGAATTCAGCCGCGTAGCTAGTTACGGGCAGCCGAGGGAAAGAGCTGCTCGCTCGCCCGATACGAATTGCAATTCTCTCTGTACTCTAACTGCGTGTATATCTCGCGCGAGTATCGTACGTTGTTTATCATCCGCGGCACATGTACGCCTCGGTATACGCGTTGCCAAGGCGCGAGAGCGCGATAAGGAGCCGAGCTAACTCGCACTCTTTGCTTCGTCGAGAAGATCGTTACGCGCGAATCATGTTCTCGACTCGATTTATACGGCCGAATACGGACTGTTGCATCACACGCATCGGCTCTCAATAAATTCGCTCGTATTTTTCAATGAACGAGTGAAAATGCACGCGGGCGAGCTTGCCGCGCAAAGCGGAACAAATTCGACGTTGAATTACACTTCGATTAGCTTCAAAAACAAAAAAATATTATTCTGACGCAAATTCGATGCGGACGTAGACACGCGCGCGCGATACAGTGAGAGAGACGGAGCGGATATTTCGTCATCCGCGCGCGCTAGGATCGATAATGAAAAAGAGCCTGTGAACCTTGCGACGCCGCAGACGCCGCCACCGCCTCCGACTGTGCTATATACACATGCGTCGTATGCACACGCGGACGGAGCAGTCGACGCGGAACTGCATACAGGATGAAATCACTTACGGTCTTGTGCTGCTATGCATCGTCGCGCGCTGATAATTCATTTTCGCTCTTTTTTCTTTTTAACGACTCGCTCAACGAGCGTGTAAAAGACTTCTTTCGCAGGTGTTTGGAGTCTTTTTGCTATTTCGAAGATGGACGTCTCGCTGCTTACGAAGCTTCGTGCATATTTGCATAGAAAAAACCCGTGTGTGTGTGACAAAGTCGCGAGAAAATCTCTTTTGTTTGTCAATCGTACCTCGTGCTGCTCGCGCGCGCGCGAACTCGATACGGGCAACGCCACGTGTTGTATCTGTCATTTCTACTTATCGGCGCGCGCGTGTGTCGCGCGTTGTCTCGCGGTGAAATTTTACTTCGATAATAAACGTAGTGCACTGCGTGCAATGAACGACGCGACTCGATTGGCATATAGGATCATAAGCTCGCGCGTATATGATATACATACGTAGGATGGGCTTGCAGAAATAAAAAGTTGGCCACGATCTTTGAAAAAGCTCGCGTGATTCGCTCGGCCGTGGCTTCGATCGCTTCTGACGTGTGCCTCTCGCGTACGCACGATTTCGTGTCGATCATCTTTGCGTACACTCTCGAATAGAAAAGCAAAAATTTGATTTCGGACGGTGGAATATAATAAGTTACTGCGTGCTGCATCCTTTGTTGCAAGCAGTAAACTCGACGACGTTATCATCTCGGGTATACACAAGTTTGTTAATTATTTTTTAATGAAATTCACGGTCATTCGTTTCATCTTTTCCTCCAAGAGTTTCTAAACTTTAAAATTGCATAGACAAAGGCTAAGGAAAAGAGGCAACGAGTTGAAAAGCCTGCAGCCGAGCATGCGATATATGTGCATGTAAAATCTGAAAATATAAAGATTAATTACGCAAGCTCACGCGTACACAGGTGTATATATGCACGAAGCTACAGTCGGCCATCACTCTATTCTTAGCTATTCGCGCGTAGTACACATTAAATATCTCGCACTTGCACGCATTTAACCCAGGCTACCCTCACGGCTTCTTCTTCATCTTATTCTTTTTAACTTGCAAGCTCGATCTCGCTCGAGCGACAGAAAAATCTTGTTTCCGCGTGGCCTTGTCCTCCCACTCGAGTAGTCAGCCGCAAGCTTGACGAGTTCTTGCTCTCGCTCTCTTTCTCGTACTGTCGAGGCGCATTAAGACGTTACACACCTCGTTCGTAGCGTGAGCAAAGACGATGCGATCAACGCCACTATATTAGCGCGATGACGCGGGACAGATCTCAACGCGTCTAATGTTCAATATTTTGTTCCTATGATGGCAATGACCTCCATCTCTGAAAAACGAGAAAATAAACGGTTTATTTTGTGCTCGCTCGTGCTCTTATACATGTGTTTTTGTTTGTTGCCCAAAGACTATCGAATAATCGTTCATCGTAATTTGCCAATCAAACCCCTCGAATCATAACATTATCGAAATGAGCAAGGCACGGGGAGGATAACAAAAAATAAAAGTGAACGCGAAGATTCGTGACTAGCGAGAACATAATCTTATCTACAGGGCTCGTAATATGTGTGCCAAAACAAATATAATACGGTTTTACGATGGTACGCATGTACGAGTCTTTTTATTAGCTAGTGAGATAAGCTATTAGTTTATATTCCGAATATTGCTATATGTGCTCTCCAGAGTTATTACTACAGTCGCAAAAATACTTGTGTGTGTATGCATACTGACTCGTCTGAGCTTGATGTTTATGGATGAAGAAGGATATTGACCCAGACGTGTTTGCAGCGATCCCCCAGACGATCTCATCACAATATCGAGCGAATTTTAATAGGGGGGCTGCTTACATTACGTATTCATAGTTCGATGATCGGACGGACTTCAATTATTTTTTTACAAGACAGTAAAAGTTGACGGTCTGAGATGAGAAAATATTGACAGAGCACGCTTTGTTAAGTTTGCGTGTTTTGACTTTGATTACGCAATTTTTTACTTTCAAGTTTTTTGATCTATTTTAGCTCGGATTCCATCGGTGTATACATTTTTCAATCTCCCACAAGTCTCAATTGTCACGTAAAGTATTTCATTTGAAATAATTTCTTTTTCTTATAACTTTTCACTCGAAAATGCATCAGAACTTTTGTACAAAGTTTGATAATATTTCCATAATGTAAGCTCGCAGTTGGCATAGAAAACGTTTTCAAATGCTCCAATACTTTTATGAATTATTTAAAAGCCTCCATTTCAGTAGATCCAATTTTATTTTATCCTGCGTCACGGTGCAAAACGCGATAATGGCGAAAAATTTGTTTTCATTCATTCCGTCGTAGGAATGTGACTCGGTTTTGGCAGTTGCGTCGTGCTCGAACTATCGCTGTATTTTCATTTCTCACAATACAAATCGAATTTTCCCAGTGCGCGCACAAAGCCACGAGGTCGCACGCGTGGTGTGAAATTCAACTTTTTAGACCAGAGTCACCTATTATTTTTTCGTTACACAAGCTCCGAGCTTGGGGAGTGAAGATTTTTCAGTCCCTGTAAAAATATTTTATTAATTTTGTTCCTACGTACGATTGTAAAATCATAGCGCGCAGTCGTTGAGTCTGGCACACACAGGCATATAGCACGAACGTTGGCGTTGGCAGGTCGATTTTAACGCGTCGCGTGATTATATACATTTACATCTATATAGAGCCGAACTATACACGCGGATATTGATGCTTGCTGCGCGGCGCGTTACGTCAGACCCGCTCACTCGGACCTTTATACGGTTTCCTAACTATTCATTTTCTCTGCCTTTGTGTACGTTTGCATTTATGCCCGCTAAACACTGCAGTCCAGCAGCTAATGATATTTTCAACGATAAAAGGTGCAAATATAATGTATTTGCGAAAAAAGAGCCAATCGGATAGTTATCTAACAGCTTATACATTATATGAATGATTTTATCAAGTATTAATAATTTCAACATCTATTTGTATTTAATTAATTGATATAACTTTATTAAAAATGATTAAATTTTAATACCATGTCTTCATCAGTAAATTCAGCCATCATGGTAGGTGATAATAACATTACTTTGCTTTTGTCATTGTTTATACTTTAATTCTCTCGAACTGTAAGTAGCATCTAATTCATAGCACGCGCGATAAATTTCGAGTGGCTCGTTCTGGAGAGCTGGAACTAAATGCTCCTACATTGTGATATTGCCCGAGCGAGTAAGCACGTTCGAAGATCGAAGACAGCAGGGGCTTACACCTTCCCCCGCGATCACTGCACGTTCGCGATACCTACTTCGAGACTTTATTTTTATATCGAGTGAAGAGCTCTCTCGCGTCTTATATATGCATGCAAAATCTGCGCTATGCGCTACACTACTGCATACGCGCCCACATTATAACTAGCTCGTTTGTCGTGACAAGAGCTCTCGACAAGTGTACCGCTCTCGGTTTACATCGCGATCAACCCTCGTTTTCGTCGTTGGACGATTTCGCTGCTCTCGTTTAATCCGCGAGCCGTGGCTAAACGAGAGGCAGCAGCGCGCAAAAAAAAAGAAACACGCTAGAACCGTCCGGTTTCGGTCTTATTGTTGCAGCGGTGTCGAGCACGAGGATGAGGTGTGCAGCACGCGCCAGATCGGGGCGCGAGCCGCGGCGTCGCAATTGCTGAAGGACAGCCCGAAGAAGGTCCAGGTCCAAGCCCAGTCCCCGCCGCCGCCGCCGCCGGCTTACGTGGCTGGTCCGTCGCTCGCTTTGCCAGCCCTGTCGCCCATCGCCCAGGTCGTCTCGCCAGCCTCGCTGAGAAGACCGCTGGAGCCCACCACGACCACCCCGCACTCCGTGACCAAGTCGCTGTTCCTCCAGGCGTGCAAGCCTCGCGCCGCTGTGCCGGCTGTACCTCGCGTCTTCAAGCAGGACATCGAGAATCTTCCATTCGAGGTTTGTTCGACGGACCTTTCGATTATTCGTTCCGCGACCGATCCATATGTTCATGGATTACATTCTTTTGAACGACAGATCAAACCGAACGACGACGACGACGCCGATCAGCTACTCAATCCTATTATTTTTCCCGACGAGGAAGACCAAGAGCTGGTGGACGAGGTGCTCAAGAAGTCTGAATCCACCACGGCGAATTTATTCGCACCTCGTACCGAGGATATGAATAAAGGGTTTCTCACCTTTAGCGAAGACCAGCCGGGTATCGCAAGTAAGTCTGCATTGCATTTTTAGAATCTTTTCTACAATATTATATTGTGGTCACAATCTTTCTTTTTTTTTTTAATATTAACTATTTACTTCGTCGTTGCGTCGATCTAAAGTAAATAAACCCTTGTAGTGCTTAAAGAAGAACCGGACGACCTTACCCATTTGGCGCCGGAGGCCGGCGACGAATGCGTCCCACTGGACGACGGACCGCTGCTCACCGATGTCCTCGACGAGTTCTTGCTCAGTGGCAATTACTGCTCGCTCCTCGGACCCGAAGGGCCGCAGGATCCGCTCACCGAAGCCGTCTGTCGGGCCCAATTCGAGGCCAACTTCGGCCAGAGCCTCAGGAGCGATTCCGCTGGCTCGTCCTCGGGCGTAAGTAGCGATCCCCTGTCCATAAATCCGAGCATACTCGGCCAGAGCAGCGCCGACTGTCTGCAACTCGGGGACCCGCTGAGGGACGACTGCTCGTCCGACGGCGGCGATCCCTTCATCTACAGAGACACGCCCAGTCGGTGTAGCCTCGGCACCGACCTGCCGTCACCCACCATGTCGAAGGTGCGTGAGCGCGAGCCTAAATTATCGTCCTCCCCTTGGATTGATATGAACGATGTTAAGGGTTTATGGCCTCTACAGAGCTTAGACGGCAGCGGTATCGACGATTCGCTGAGCCCGACCGGCAGCATCGGCTGCGGCACCGGCGCCCTGTCCGACGAGGAGATGCTCATGCTCGGCATCACGGACGTCGCCGTCGACGAGGAGGTCAACTGTAAGCCCTTCATCGCCGTGAACGATAACGAGGAGGCCATGGAGCTGCTCATCAATAACGACGCGGTCATGTGGGGTCCGCGACAGTCGACCATCAAAAAGTCCAAATGGTGATAACATTGAATTTCGATTGAAAGCATCGATTTATTTTTATCAATGTAATTATATTCTTTTTTCTTTTTTTTTTTTCGTTTATTTTACAGGGTAACGAATGAAACGAAAAGTCCCAATTCCAGCTTGGCGCAATTACTCACGAACGAGTCGCACTCGTCGAAAAAATTAAAGTACCCCAATGAAGCCACGCTTGTCAATCCGAGCCAAGTTCTTGGTCAAATCAGTACAAAAAGTTGGTTCCTCTCGCCCTGAAAAGTTCCCCGTCCCTTGATTTCGAATTAAAATGTTTCTTTGTATTGCTTCAGATAACCTAACGAAAATCAATAACAGCAGCAGCACTGCCGAGCGCTCGAACAAACGCACCCACGCGTTATCTTCCAAATCCCAAAATCGTCAGAATCAGCAACAGCTGCTGCAGCAGCAGCAACACGAGCCAAACAAGCGTTTCAAGCAGACGCACAACGAGTCCTCGGGAATTTCTCAGTTCAGCAACGATATGTTTAATATCGCTAACGCGCAGCAAAAAAACAGTCAGTTACTGCAACAGCTTGTATCTCAAAATCTGCCAAAAAGCAGTAGAAATATGTGGCCAGGACAGCAGCAACAGCTGCAGCAAAAGGCCAATATTGTCAATAACAATATATTCAACGATAATGGCAATCGATTGAATAGCTTGAACAATGGAATGAACATGGCTGGTAAAACTGGCAGAAGCAATGCGTTGCCGACACAGCAGCAGCAGCAGCAGCAGCAGCAACAGCAGAGCAACAGTGTCCTCATGAATTTACTCGTTTCAGGCTGTGATGTGAGTGCTGGCTACGTTTGCCTCACCAAGCAAAATAACAATACGAGATCCTCTAAAGGCATTACTAGCAAATGAAAGACTCACGATATAATAATCACGATTATGTGTACACGCGCGTCCGCGTATTATAGGCCGGAATTTGAACGAATGAACGAAACACTACGAGACGATGCCGATCCTCAAAGATTAAAAAGCACAAAACGCGAACGATTTCCCGCCTTATAGCGCGCAATATGAAAAATCTCTCTTTCTCTTGTATATAGAAACAAAGATGTGTTGCAGAGCAAACGGGGAAAAACTACTAATTTTATTTTGTACCTATATGGATCAAAAACTCGATCTTATACTTACTGCCGAAAGCGCGTTTTGTCTGCATCGGCTTACAGAATGTATCGTCCCTGTTCATGTACTTTTCTATTTGAAATCAACGTACGTATATATTAATATATATTTATGATGATTATTCTGTTATATTCTACATACGTTTATTGTAGATCGAGCGTCACTGGAAAAAAACACTTTGAATCTAGTAGAGTAGAAACCCGCGATCAAGTTTACGAAAAATTTTAATTTCTAATGGACGTTGATGCGTTTCATCGACTTTTTAACGAATAGCCATCCCAGTGGGGGCAAATTTTCGACGGACAAAAAGACTCTCTTAACAGAGTTTGTAAAACTTTCGATGTATAGTAATGCATTATAATAAATTATATAGTACATATTGAAAGATGGATAACAAAATTTTAATGGATTTATTAAGAAGAAATGTTAACTCGAAATACATGAAATGAAATCGTAAAAAAAAAAATATTAATTATGATCTGAAATCTACAAAGTGCTGTATTTCAATCTCCTTAGTTCCTTCTTCAAAGTGCAGATTTTCCCCACCATTTCTTTTTCACCAATTTTAAAACCTTGATTTTTTATTTTAGAAAAAAAAAAGATTTAAAAATAATTTTCTTGAATACAATTTTTATTTGTTCCTATCAACAGGATATAAACTATTATTATCCTTTTTTCTTACTTAGTTTGAACTAAATTCAAAGTAAAACTTCTTGATTTTTTTACTTTACCTAAAATGAAAAGTTGTACCTGATGGTATATCTATAAAAAATAAGCTGTTTTCATTTCTCAGCTCTACCAGCAGTTATAATTCAAGTCTTCCTTGAATTATACGTGGTCTTCGTCGCTTCTAAGATGATTGAACATCGCCCAAGTCGTAACGGCGCTTGCGTCGCGCTTTCGCGCCATCGTCTCTCTTTTAAAAAACGTAGTGGCACGCAGCATCCTTTAGCAGAGAGACGAGATCTTTCGTATGCACTCGTCTACGTCACTGAGTGCGACGAAATCGACCGTCGCGTATATGTGCGCGTGTAGAGCGAAGTTTGCAAGCTCAAGGCCACTCTCTTCGTTTAAAAGCCGGTCATATAAACTTTAGACAGAATCGCTGTCGATTTTTCTTTTTTCTTTTCTGTTCAATTAATTATGATTATAATAAAGGAATTCCTTCGTCTCATATTGGCATTATATTAGAAAAAATTATTTTTACGATGATTAATTAAAATTACCTGCTCATTAAAGCTCCCATCAGTTTCTCTTATTCATTTTCCTACTATATCCATTAAGTCTTGATTGAAATACAGTAGTAATGCTTTGATAGGTACTAATCCTCTCATGGTTTTTCTATATTTATTCGACATTTTTATTTATGATACGTCAGTCTAGATATCACATAACACGAGCGTGAATTATGTCTTTCAAAAATTTGCCAGTAGTTTTTTAGAATCTCTGAAACTTAATTTTGTTTGCACATTTCATTAATAATTTTTTTTTTTTTTCATTAGATACAGGCCATTCAAAACCAAGTTCTTCAAGAGGCGACTCTACCAAACATATGTGCGCCAAAAATGGATCTCATACAAAACGTAAAACCACAACAGCAGCAGCAGTCAGTAATGATGGACGCGGAAAATTTCCAAGCGTTACCATTCTGGGATAATGTTTTGGATAACACTCAATCTTTCCTTTACAACAAACAATTGCAGTATCAGCAACAACAACAGCCGCAACTACTGCAGCAGCAACCACAGCAGCCACAGTTATTTAATCAAAAAACAACAACATCAGCCTTAGATCAAATGAGCTTAGAAGCTGCTGAGTTTATGTTTGGACCAGAAAGCGATGAGCTTTTGCGTGCCCTAGATCCAAATCTCGTTTGACCGAAAGCTTGCCTCTTTTTAGAGAGGATCGACGATATATTGTAATTTTAAAATCAATTCACATATATATACGTGGGGCCTTTTTATTTTTAAACGTTTAGTGGTTTATTAATTGTTGTATCCGTGTCAAATTGTCGTGGAATAAATGAAAAAATGGTAGGTCTTTAAAAAGTGAAAAAAAAACAAAACATTAAAAAATAGATAAGATGTAATTTTTTTTTTCTACTAGCAATTTGGTTCAATGAACAAAACATAAGGAGCTTTAAAGAAAATGAATTGACAAGGTATGAAATATTTCATTCTACGATTAGTTGGAGTGTTGTTAGATGCAACTTAATTCCGATGTATTTTCATATGAATCCGTATAAAATGCCCGCAATCAGATGTGATAAATTGTAAAAGTTAAATAGTAATCAAAATCAATTTGTTTTTGTAAATGTACTATATAAATAGAGAAAAATTCACGTTGGAATCAATTTATTGTATTATTTATAAATGATGTGTCTAATCAGTCGAAGAAAATTTTGTAAATCAGTGGTGAGTGATTAGGTACGAGATTGATGTTATTTATTATTTTTCGTCTGGAGTATATTTTTTATTATGAAACAAATCTATTTTTACAAAATATTAAGTTGCTTATTCGAATAACTGTTATGAATGGTCTGAAGTCAATGGATCATTTGTGTAAATTTATTATTATATTCATATTAATTTAATAATGTTTTTCAATGTAACAGAAAAATTTGTATATTCGTGTTTTAGAATTAAGACCAGTTAATATTTTAATGTTTATGCTAACAAAAAGTGTAACCCTCAACTTTTTTATAGTAATAACTTTATTAAGAAAGAACTAACCGTCGCCTTGTCGGTAAAGTAGATTTATACTGTGAAACATATATGAAACTTATTTGTCTTGATAACATCAAAAAATGTCTGATTCTTCTAAAACCAAACGGATTGGAAAAGGTCGTAATTGTTTATTTTTTATTCATAAATTATTATTTGTAAAATGATGGTCATAAAGAGGCATTATTTTAATTAAAATTTTAATATCGTAAATTTTAAATACTCAAAAATATGCCTTCAATTTGTTATTTATATTTTTTTACCTCATTGATTTGTGTACAATCTTCAAACATGAACTATAAGAAAACACATAACGGTTATTGAATCAAATTTTTGTTACTTAGCGTTATTGAAAATTATTAGTTTTATGTTACATTTCAAGATGTAGCTGACTCTTCTGTGAGATAAAAATTCTATTATTTTTTGGTGCTTTGTTTAAATTATTTATTTTTTAGTGACTGTATCTAATAATTATGATTATCAGTTAAAACCACTGAGTTTAATAAAATAATAAGTTAAGTGGCTAAAGTGTTATAATTTTTTCTATTAATTATAGTAACGTATAAGTTTTAATAGACATCATATGAAACATAAAATTATGCATATTTATAAAGAAATATTAATTGCTATAAAAATCAATGATACGACGAATTTTATGTTTTTCATGATTATTCATTTTTCAAAAAGTGCAGTTAATACACAAGCTTTAAACTTTGGAGTAGAGAAGTTTTTTGTACTCGAATAGAATGTTTATTTTTTATTTAAATTTGTATTTGATTTCATATGTTTTATCGTCATAACATAGTTAATCACTTATGAACAAGTACAGTCCACTGATTTGTATATCAAATACTTACAAATACATGTATAAAATAATGAATTTAAGAAACTAAAATATCTGTAATAAATTACAATTGTTACTAAATATTAAAATAAATTTTTATAAGAAAAAATAACCAATCAATTAATATTAATTATTTAATGTGTAAGAAAGCGAACGTATCAATGAGGAATTAAAAAAATGTCAGCAGTTTTAACTCTTCTGTACATTTTTTGCGATTAAAAATTTATTCGGATGTTCATGTTCGAGTGTTTTATGAAAACCGCCGAAAGATTTTGTTAAATTGCCAAAAAAAACTTTTACGTCGCCTTCAGCCTATAAATCGCACACACAATTCATAAAACTCGGTCAACAATTACGGACAACTATTATAAATAAGAAAATTTACAGGAGTTTTGTAAGATCATTTTTTTTATCATTAGGAAGTTTATGAACAGAGTTTTCAATGAAAATTTGTTTATTCAAAATTCTATTCTTGGAGCACACTATATTATTAAAATAAATTAGTTCTCGAGAAACTGTGCTCTCGAGACGCTGTACCCCATCGATGGCGCTCGATACCGAGATAACGTCAATCGCGCCGAGCGAGAGAAAGTGTGAGAGAGAAATCAGGCTAATCTGCTTTTAAACGCGATGCAGCCTATCTATATGTACCTATAAATCGTGTAGAGTACTCTCTGCCCTCGAGTAAGAGGAAGAGAGAGACGAACAGCTTTGTTGATGAGAAGCGAGCTTTACGAGCCCACAAGCTCGTACGTCAATATAGAAATCTAAACGTCGGAAATGAGTGCCGAGCGAGGCGCAGCGACACGTTTTTGTGCGTGCCTCAAACTGAGATGCTGATTTATTATATTATCATTTACCTCGTTGCATCGCTACCTATCTAGTATGTAAACTCTATCCAAAACAAACCAATGACGATCCATGTCGAAACACTTTCAAGTGACTGCCATTTTTATTTGATACGTATGATGAAAAAAAAATGAACGGATGTGACGTTGTTTCAAAGTTTTAAGACTAAGACGCACCTCAAACAACTTTATCCATGAGAGGACGAATAAATATTTTATTAAATGAAACAAGGGAATGAATGATTGCGTTATTATTGTAATAAAAGTTTTAAATTTTGTGGCGATCTATAAATGATTACATGTAATGGTTATGAAAAAAAGTTAAATAGTCGTATTTACCAATGTTAATATAATTGTATTTTGCATTTGAGATAAATATAGAATTATAAAATACATCCAATATTTATTTACTTACTGATAGTTTAAAAGACCTATTTTGAATTCTAACCACTCAGCATCGGGTGGCGAAAAAATATAACCAACTAATAATTTTCTTTCATATTACTTTACTGCTTATTTTATCTACGGGTACTACTCGAACAAGCCGCGACTCATCTATACAACGCAGCATCAAAGTAGTTATAGTTTCGATGAAATAGCGAAATATGCGCGCGATCGTACGAATCGGCCGGAACAAAAGCGAAGAAGACCGATGGGCTGGCCGCGCGCCCACTTCAGCTGGTCGGCTCTGCGATGCTTGGGCCGAGCGCAATTCTACCTGAGCCTCCTGGGACTGCTGTTCTCGCTGTCGCTGCTCGGCTGGGCGTGGAGCCTGAAGATCCAGCTGGGAGATCACATGGACGTGGCGCAGCCCGGTGACGGCTACCTCTGGCCCGCCACCGTCGTCGTCGTCGTCGTGTTCGTCCTGCCGGTACACCTGACGGCGATCGCACTGAGGCCGGCCATTTGTCGCGATCTCGAGAGTAAACGAGCCCTCCGAATGAGTCGAGACGCCGGTCAGCCTTTACAATTTGCATTATTTCGATACTTGAAGGTTAGATCGCTAAAGTTTCGTCAATTACGTTTCACCGCGGCACGCAGGTAAGAGCATGGATCGGCTGCTGTTTCTGCACGTTCTGCTGTCGTGCTTGTCGGGCATTCTGGTGTTCGGGATTTGCGCGGGCAGCGTTTTTTACTGGAGCAACGTGCGCCGACGACTGAAGCAAGGCCTGCTGAAGGCTCTGCGACGCTATCCGACCGATCGGGACATTCGGCACGGCGTCGATCGCCTGCAAATGGAGCTGCACTGCTGCGGCGTCGATTCCTATCGCGATTGGTTTTATCTGCCTTGGGCTCCGCTCGGCGACGGCGACTCCTCGAGCGTCGAGGCCAACGACCGAGTGGGCAACGTCAACGAGAGAAACGCAGCTGGACGAATGACCGACGGTCAAAAGTAAGCTCGACTTGGATAACAGTTTTACGGCTTTACGGAGCGACGTTGCTTTCTCGCAGAATCGACTCGAGCGACGGCGGCGATTATTACGAGGAAAAGCCGGGGCCGCCGGTGAGCGGCGACGTGCCCTACTCGTGCTGCCTGGTGGACATACTGCGCGAGTGCGTGCATCGAGAGCTTTTGACGTCGGGCCGATCGGAGCCAACGATATCGCGCCTCGGTTGTCACGTCAAGATCCTCGGCCGCGCCGACGACGCCGGCAGGGACGTAATGGCCTGCTTGATTTTTCTCACGGTTTATCAGGTATGTACGATCTCGATGCATGGCAGCGCACAAATGCCGCTGTATTTATAAAGGAACGTTCGTGACGAGAGTGCAAAAAATGAATTATTAAACGAGAGACGCGCACAAAGCCAAAATTATCATAAGATCTCGGTAAGACGATAAAAGCACTGCTTTCTGCCTTTCTGCGTCTCTCACCTCGTCGTACGTAGTAGTCGTTTTCGTCGTTATAGACGCGCGAGATGATGTAAATTTGCCTCACTCTACTACATCTACTCGGTGCAGCCATATTATTCATGAATAATCCATGTGTACATGTACGAGTCCTCTCTACCCTCTCTCTCACTCTCTCTCTGTGTATGTGTATCTGTGTGTTTCACGTGTACGCGCGCCGCAACGTGACAAAGTTGACATTGTCGATCCTGTCGCGCCTACTGCAGACGGCCCGATGGAGCGCACTTAGTCACGAAACTTGCGGCGAGCCGCAGTACGAGGCTTGGCTCTTCGGCATCAAAGGACAACTGGCGCCAGCTGCTCGATATTCCGAGCTGCGGATGCTTCGGCCCGTTAACGACCAGGTATGCAAGCAGAGATACAACCGAGAGAAATGATAATAAATACAGAAATCCCCCTGGGTTTATTAGAATATAACACGTCGGAATATTTTTTACGACGCACAAGCCAGCGTACAAAAACGTCTGTTATTTGGAATATCAATAAGATCTTTTTTCCTCCCTCCTTTTATCTCTCTCTCTCTCTCTCTCTCTCTTTTGCGCGTAATGGACTGCGAGCTAGCTTGGCGCGTATAAAAATAATGCCTGGCCGTATAAAACGAGAGAGGGAAAGCAGAAGAGGCAAAAATGTATAAAGTCACAGTCGCTACATAAGGAAAATTTCGCATAATAACGGCTTTTATACGTCGACTCGTATAAAGAAAAAGCTCCTCGTCAATCTTTTGCAATTTTTTACGGACTCCCCAAAGGATTATTCAGCGTCGTCGTCTTCCACCTCGGATTTCGACGGCTTGGACTGTGATCCCGCCGAGCGCTATCGCGATTTCGGCAGGCTCAAAGGCGGTCGAGATATCTCCTATAATGACGACGACTATAAAAGTTGCGAGGCCGACGACGAGGAACATCAACCAAAATCGGACGGACATTACGCTCGATTCAAGTCAGCAGCTGCGACCGCTTCCAAGGTAAAGGATTTCTCTCTTCTCTTTTGTGCGTATGTGCTTTGTGCGAAAAGCTCCGAATGAATAAAACAATCTCTCGATTTTCCTAACAATGCGATTTAGCCCCCGAAGGCATCGAGGAGCGTGTTATTCTTGTGTATCGAACGATAATTTAGCGAGCGTGCGACGTCGTTGGTATTCGTGTGCCTCCACAAGCCTTTGATTAATTTAGCTTTGCAACGTATAGAAATTCCAATCGCCGGGGGTGCTAGCGGATTGAAAGTTCGAAAACTCGAAATAATAAGTTGAGCCTCGCATTGTTGATATTGTTGTGGCATCTTTAGAGTTCACTTTTAATGCGTCAAAACTATTCTTCGGATGAAATAATTTATGAACGAAGCCATTGTATCCTCGGTATTCTTGCCGATTATGTGAAAAAGCGAAGACGTTCTTGAACAGCATTCTCCTCGAGATTATAACGCGGAGCGAATGAAAGTAGCGACCTTAGAGCTCGCGCGCGCACGCGGATAGGCATTAATATAATGTCGCTTTGCGAAGCAGACGCGTGTCAATTGTGAACAACACATTTTACGCAGCTAGGTACCTTGGAGCGATCTCGTTATGCCAATACCAGTCGAATAAATCATCGGAGCCAATCAGCGGTGGCAGCAGCAGCAGCAACATCTCGGCGGAACAGGCAACAGTCGCTGCCGAAAAAGCTCACGGCCCTGTCCTCGAGATCCTGCATTATTTCGACCTCCTCGTTGTCCTCCCGCTCTTGCAGCCTCCCACCGTTGCCCTCGACCCCCCAGCGTCGTCCCAAAGTCACGACCCAGTTCGTATACATATATACATTTTAATATATACATTGTAGTGCACATTTACGCACGTACCATGTGTGTGCGCGTGTTACGAGCTCGATCGGACCAAAAAAAAAAGAACGAGAGATGGAGGAGAAAAAAAATTGATACTTTGTTTCGAAACGCAGAACGAGCTCGGACATCGTGTGTCCGCTGCACGGGCCGCAAACGAAACGACAGCAGCAGCGTCAATGTCCCGTGCATCCGGAGAAAAAACTTGCAACGACAATAGGGAGCAGTGGCAGCAGCAGCATCATCAGCCAAGAGCTTCGGCGGGCTCGATGTCCTGTGCACGGGAGTTGTCAATCGAACCGCTAGATAATGACGACGTGCTCTCTCAGCTGTGGAATAGCTCCGTGTCTTTGGCCGGACGCGGCTGTTTTATAACAGAGGTAAATGCCCCGGACCAGTTTGCTCTATGGCTTTATCGTTAATGTGCGGCGACCCTCTTCTTGTCATACTCATCACATACAGACTCTGTTATTGTGAACTTTGTTGATATCAAACTCCAAACTGTATATTTTTCTATTTGTAGCTTTTTAAAATAATTCAATTTTAATGGAAAAAATTTCTTTTAATTACTTCACACTTACTACCATGAAAGCACAATAAAATAAACCAAGAAAAATCAGAAGAAATACTGATACTTTTTTTGCATAATCTGTAATGCTTCTTACATCATTATTCTTACATTTTTCTATCATACATTTTTAAAAATTCCCTGAACTAGCAGTGTACTCTCGGTGTGCATTAATTAATTTAATTATGCATTTGCTTCTTCAAAGATGTATTGGTAAAACCCAGTAGCAGGCCTTTAAACATTAGATATACACTGATTATTTCGCATTCTAATTTTAGGAAATGCATCACTCGATTATTCACTTTCTCGATTGTTTTGAATTTTATTTTATAAAGTTCCTTTTATTGTTACTCTCGCTCTCGCATTTTTTTTCTCTTATTCTCTTATCCATTATATTACTTTGTATTTTGCTTAAATCTTTTTTGTTCCAAGTGTTTTGGTTTGACAACGGCGCCCACCTATTTATATAAAGTCTCGTATTCTTACTCAACAAATCGGAGAAACGAGTTTAAACTGTGTATAATCACTCTTGGTTTATTTTGCCACAAAACTACATTCATGAGTGCACGATCTAGCGTAGCATAATTTTCTTTAATCATCTTTAATCATTATCATCATCACTCAAATTATATTTAAAAAAGATTTAATTTTTATCATAATTATAATTATCGTCACTTTATACATTCTCACTATATTAGTCATTTTATTCACTAAAATAATCCAAGTACGCAATATGTCACCGCTTCTGATCCCATAGTATATATACGTAAAAAAAAATGATGATTTAGAAAATTATCTATTCTGTTGATCTTTTTGTAAAGATTGGTAAACATTCTTGACACACCAAATCCGACGACATGAACATGAGTCTCAGATGTGTACATATTATTTTTATATGTAACATTGTACACGTTCCGAGCTATACTCCTTTTTATCTCTTTTTATGCACTTCAAAATCGTCAACAGCGTTTGGAGTTAAGCTACCTCGTCAAGCGAATGAAACGAGTTTCTTTTTCCCTTTTTTTATGTAAAAAAGGAAAAGAAGAAAAAAAAGCTGAAAAACGAGGCCAGTTCTCGCCGGCGCACAGTGGTACCAAACTGAAAAAAAATGATCTAAATTAAAGTGTCAAGGGATTTTAGCACGGAAAAAAAATCCAAAAATAGTGTCAGATTCGGGAGATCATGAGGAATCCAATGCCGTTTCCCTTTTTTAATTAGCTATTTGTTTAAACATTATACAGCTAATTGAAGTCTCTCATTATCAATTTGTTATAACATAAAATTTCCTAATTATTCATTTATTGAATTATCATTGCAATTTTTGTGAGCCGAAAGCTATCTCAGCTCATTGGTTATTTTTACAATCACTAAAATAGTATGAAAATTCAAAATTAATATTTGTTAATAATAATAATTGTTTCGTTAATAAACAAATGAAAAGTTAACGTGCAATATGTTGTTCTCATCACAATTAAGCATTTTAATTGGATTGATGGGAAATAATCATATCATTCTAATTTTTAACGACAATTGTTATAACAAACGATTGTTATAAACAAATTTTAAACAATTGTGAAATTTTGATTTCTTATACTTTTTTACACATATCGAATTTGATTATAGCTTAAATTTTTTTCCAACGAATCATAAACATTCAACAATAATATTTGTTGATAATTTTTTTATTTTGTTGATAAACAAATGGAAAATTAACGTGCAATATGTGGTTTTCGTTACGATTATGCATTGTCACTGTATTTACAGGCAATAAGCATATCAATTTAACATTCGACGATAATTGCTTAAGCAATTGTTATAAACAAATTATTAATAATGGTTAAATATCGATTCTGCATGCATTATTGTGCTAGTGAACACTCATTAGAATTGCATATTAATTAAATATCAAAGGATCACAATATTAGAGTGCATTTTTAATAATAATTTTTATTATTATCATTTATTATAAATTAACAAATTTAAATAAATAAAAAGTTTATTTTGGCCTTAATGAAAGAAATAATAATTTTATTGACTTGAA